ATTGCTGCATGTGAGATAGAAGTATCTATCAGGCATTTGGTGGTGGACGACTGGAGTTTGGGAACAAAATTTATGCTAGATTTCTCCATTTATTAGTCATTAGTGTGGAGCAGGTGAGATCACCAAGAAAGAGCATAGAGAGAAACCATCAGAATACATGAAAGAAGTTGCTACATAAAAGGTTGTTAAGGGATGTTGTAGAATGAAGAGATAGACAGTGTTGTGTAGTGGATAGAGACTCAGAGGCAGAAAGACCTGAGTTCAGATTTTACTTCTGATGCTGTGTGATCCTGACAAGTCACTGGAACTCTCAGTGCACCAGATCACTCTAAGTTACATAACATAGAGGAAGTTTTCTCAAGGTAATTCCACCTATAACAATAGGTACTGACCCCTCCCCCCCATAGTAAGAAAATATTTATTTAGTAAAATAGTTCATAAAATTTTAGTAAAATAAGTATTTACTATAATATAAATAAGTAATAAAATATTTAGTATAAAATAAAAAATTTAGTAAAAAAACTAGTGAAATATTTAGTAAAATATATTCATGATTTGTGGTTTGGGTATGTTTCAGAATCTTGAATAGCAGTGTGAGCAATCTGGAAATTTAGGGAGCCCTGTTTTATGGCTGTGACTTTTCCTTGAGTTTCATTTCCTATAATATGTTGTCCTTAGTAATAAGCACATTTAAGACTGTTGAGTTGACACAGCATGATGCATTGGAAAGAACACTTGTTTGTGTAGTCAGAGGACCTCTGGACAAATCCTGCCTGGGATGCTGACTTTTTGTGTAACTTTGGGCAGATCAGGTAACCTCCCAAGGAGGGAGTTTTCATACTAGGAGTTCCCAAAAGCTATAATATCACAGGGTCCCCCCCCCCACTCACCCAAGGTGATCAAATTAAATAATATACAGGGTGCCCCATAGTTACTAAAGCTTAAAATCGCACCTTGTATATCCAGTTTTGCAAACCTATTAGTTCTTAGTTTTGCAAGGCCCTGTCCAAGGTCCTGAGGCTTTAAAGATAAAAGCAAGACACCCTGCTCTCGAGGAGTTACGATCTATTGTAATTTTATGGTTCATCCCTAAATAGTTGACAGTGTATGTGGTTGGAAACATAAAGACAGAACTCTGTTGAGTTAGACTGTCAATATCAAGGACACTCATTTTCCATTGAAGATGCTGTGTGTTCAGAAGCAGTGGTGTCTGATCACTATGTGTAGGGACAATCTTTAACTTCTAATCTGATTCTCACTTGCAGCCTTCAATTTTATCCATAGATTTTTAGTATTAAATAGGTGGAAGGGGTAAAGATAACATCTTTCTTCTCCTGATGGGATACTGAATTTGCTTTTTTCGATGGCCAACCCTGTTTGAATAAGTTGCCCCTGTCAATTTTCAGGGGACTTCTCCTTCTTTGGATCAGCATTCATTCATTCTGCAAACATTTATTAAACTCTCACTGTGTGTCAAAATTTATCGACATCAAGATTTACTGCTTTGATAAAACCATTTTGGAAAGAGAACATCGTGATTAAGAATAGCTGCTGCAGATGTGCAGCACAGCAAGGAGTGTGGGAATAGGATTGGAGTTACTTCTTCAGGGTCGTAACACTGCATGATATTCCGCTGCAACGGCCAGGGCCACCACTAGCGGTGTTGGTCAGAAATTGAGGCAGGAAGACCGTTGAGGAGGCTATTAAAATAGTCTAGGAGAGTGTTGGAGAGAGCCTTGAGTTCAGAGAAGAGGACGCATTTGAGCGATGTTGGGGAGAAAGGAGTAACAAGATTTGGCAATGGATTGGATGTGTGGGATGAGAGTGAGAGTGAGAAGTTTGGGGCAAGAGCAAGGTCTTGGGTTTGAGTGATTAAAAGAATGGCAGTGTTCTTGACAGTGGCAGGGAAGTTCAGAAAAGAGGCTGGTTTTGGGGTGTTGGGGGTCATAATGAGTTACGGTTTGTAAATGACGATTTTGAGATGTATGTGGAGAGTAGCAGCATCTGATAGGTAGATGGTAATGTGGAATTGGGGCACAGGAAATAGAGACTAGAGCTGGATATATATGGATTTGGGAATCATTTGCATAGAGATCATAATTGAACTCTTGGGAACTGATGTAGTTATCAAGTGAGAAAGAGCAGAGAGAAAAGGGAGGGGGGCCTAGGACAAAGCCTTGGGGGACATCCACAGCTAGTAGTTGTCTATACAGTAGTTGCCCTATACAGGGCAGTTAGGTGGTGCAACAGTGCACAGAGCACAGGATTTGGAGTTAGGAAGACTCATCCGCCTGAGTTTAAATCTGGCTTCAGACACTTACCAGCTGTGTGACCCCGGACAAGTCACTTCACCTTGTTTGCCTTAGTTTTCTTGTCTGTAAAATAAGTTGGAGAAAGAAATGGCAGATTACTCTACTATCTTTACCAAGAAAACCACAAACGGGGCCATGAAGAGTTGTACACAACAGAAAAATGACTGAACAATACAGTAAATCTTTTATATCTACTTTGAAAAGGACTTTCTCATTTTTTTTTTTTTGGCTAGGCAGTGGGGTTAAGTGATTTGCCCAGGGTCACACAGCTAGTAAGTGTTATGTGTCTGAGGCCGGATTTGAACTCAGTTCCTCCTGAATCCAGGGCTGGTGCTCTATCTACTGCACCACCTAGCTGCTTCTGACTTTCTCAGTTTCTAAGAATCTATTGGAATGAATGATACCAATAAGTTTAAATTATTTTGCTTAATGCTATTAGACTTTGTTTATTTATTTTTCATGTATTTATTTAATTTTATTAAACTTTCTTATTTTGCTTCAACTTTAACTTATTTTGCTTAAACTTTGATTATAACAAATCCACATGGGAACATTTGAATATGTACAGGAAGCAAGCAGTCTTCTCATAAAGTCTGCTTCTTCAGAGAGGGACATTGAGGTAAATCATAGAACTTAGAGTAGGAAGGAGACTCCCATGGCCATCTAGTCCAACCTGAAAACCAGACAAAGAATGCCCATTGCCACACACCCAGTTAGGGGGCATCCAGCCTCAGTTTGCAGAACTCCAACAGAAGGGAACCTTCATTCCGTGAAGCAACCCCTCCCACTTCTGAAGAACTCTAATTGTGAGTGACATCAAGACAAACTTTGCTTCTTGACAACTTCCTGGTTCTAACCTGTGGGGCCAAGCAGGGCAAATCTACTCTTCAGCTATGTGGACAAAGTGATCACGTATGCCTGGAGTCTTCTGGTTAAACCAGCCCATTCAGTTAAACTACTCTCCTGTGGCATGGACTTAAAATCACCATCCTCATTGCCTTCTTTTAGATGCTCCCTAGCTTATCAATGTCCTTCTTAAATAAAGCGTGGTGCCCAGAGCCGAACAAAGTACTCTAGTTATGGTGAGAATTTTATACGCCCATTAAGGTTAAGCTATGACTTGAAACATTGAAATGTTTCTTGTGAAACCAGAAATCTTAGCAAGTTACATTTTGTAGCCTACCTAATGGGTGGTGCTGTATTGGTACCTCTTATGTAGTACCTTAACAATTATGTTTGATCGTAATCAGTGAAGTGTGCCCCCTTTTACATTCCATAATGTGATCACTTAAATCATTTAATAGGTTTTGTTCTATAGACAGTGATACATAAGTCCTGTGTGGTTAAACATAATAAATCAGTATCATTGGCCTGGAACTTTCATTGCCTAAGAGAGAACAGGATCAACCTTGAATATGGTAACCATTGAAATAAATTAGATTTTGGAATTTCCATAAAAGTAGATGCTGGCCAACTCACTGTTTGGAAAATGAGAGCTGCATAAAGATTCTAAAGAGAAGGAGTGAAAGAAAAGATTTTCTGTTTTGATCCTAGTAACGCTCATGCATATGATATATTTTGAAGTTTGTGTGAAAGGCGGTAGGAACGCAGGCAGTTGATTAAATGCTTACTCTGTGCCAGACATTTTGCCAAGTATTGGAAATGCTAATACAGGCAAAAAGAAGGATGGGCCTTGCCCTCGAGGAACTTACATTCTATTGGAGGAAGACATCCCCAAAGAGGGCTGTGAATGAAGCATGGCCAACCTGGTTGGGCCTATCACCAAAATGAAGACCTAGAAAGAACTCACCAGTAGGAGAGGGGAGCTGGCAGGCAAAGGGATATTCCAGTGTGAGAAGGCAGCTGAGTCACGGTGGCAAAGTCCAGAGGTGGAAGTATAGTGTGATGGATAAAAGTCTGGCCCCAAATTAGGAGCATCGAGATTCAAGTTCTAAGCTGTCACTAACCAGCTGGGTCACTTTGGTTAAGCCAGGTAACCTCTTAGTTCTGTAGGCAATTAAATGTTAGGGATGTCAGACTGTAAACTTAGATGTAGAAAGGGTTTTGCTCTAGGAATTCTCTGCTGGGATAAGATAACATCACAAGTTCAGACTAAGTATTTAAGGCTCATGAAACACATTACATGCATTATCTTATTTGAGCCTTACAGCAAGCCTATAAATTAGGTATGACAGGATTATATCCATTTTATAGTTGGAGAAACTGAGGATCAGAGAGATTAAAAGTGACTATAGGTCTTCCTGCCTGCAAGGTTGGCTTTCTATTCATTCTACCAGGGGCCTCCTATACAAACATTAAAATACTGTGTAAATGTTTGTTGTTGTTGAGTTGTTTTTCAATTGTGTCTGACATTTTATGACCCAATTTGGGCTTTTCCTGGCAAAGATACTGGAGTGGTTTGCCATTTCCTTCTCCAGCTTAATTTATAGATGAGGAAACTGAAGCAAACAGGATTAAGTGATTTGCTTAGGGTCACACAGCTGGTAAGTGTCTGAGGCCAGATTTGAACTTGCATCTTCCTGACTTCAGGCCTGGCATTCTAACCACTGTGCCACCTAGCTGACCTTATTATAAATGTTAGTGGTTATTATAATCCTTTGCAAGTGAGAGTTCTCACCATGTCATTTCTCTGATCATCAAATTCTAAGGGTACTCTGTTTCCTCTAGGTTACAATGCACACTCTTCTGCTTGGCCTTTGAAGACTTGGACCGTCTGCCTCCAGCTCATATTTCCAGATTGATTTCATGTCATTGCCTCTCTGTGTTCCAGCCAAAATGACTCATGCAAAATTACAGGGTCATATATGCAGAGCTTGCAGAAAACTGAGAATATCCCATCTAACTCTACCTGTGTGATCTCTGGCACATCATAGAACCTCCTGGTCCTTAGTTTTTTTTTTTTCTTCTTTGGAATGTGGGAGTGTATTCAGTGACCTCTAACAGTGATAGATTGATGATCCTATGAGCCCTCATTTTACAGGTGAGGACACAGATGCCCACAGAGGTTAAGAGACGTTCCCTCTTTCTCATACTCAGTACTCTATCTTCAGCTCCCCCTTTCCTGGAATACTCTCCTTTTGTACCTCCATCTCCTGATATCTTCTCCTCTCCTGTCCTCAACTCTCTCTTCCTCTCCTTTTGTTATGCCATGCCATATTATTATCCTAAAACATTGTAATTTATTTGTTCCTTTCCTTCTTCCCCCTTTCCCCTTTATAAAGTAAGCTCTTAATCTCAAGTATAGGACCTTTTTTTTTTCTTCTTTGCTCTCCTAGCATGGTGGCCTGGGATGTACTTTTGTTTTGTTCAGGGTGGTGTTGATTTCATTAGTGTTCAGAAATCTTCCTCCTCTTCAAACTCCTACTCCACAGCTTCCTTTCTGCCCTCTTTGCTTCTCAGATCAGAGACCTGCTCTGGGGCCTCCCTCTTCTGAGTGGTGACTGCTTCTTCCCTGACCATTACTCCTGCCTACCAAGTTGAATGATTCTGATTTCTCTTCCACAAGGCGGCTCTCCTTATACTTGAACAAAGGTACCATACCTGTTTTGAGTTCTCTTTTCTAGTCTAAACCTCCCCACTTCTTTTAAACGATCCTTTTAGGTCATGTTCTTGTAATTCTTCCTGGTCTCCTTCATATGGACTCAATCCAGCTTATCAATGTCCATATAAAATATGGCACCTAGAACCAAAGGCAGTACTCACGATATTTCTGACCAAGGTAGAGAGCAGTGACACCGCCATACCTTCCTATTTGCTGGACAATATGCCTTTTTAAAATGCAGTCTAGGATTGTTTTTCTGTCAAATCAACACTTGATTAATTTCAAACTATCGGTCCATTAAACCCCCAAGATCTTTTTTTTTTTTTAACAAATGGCTGCCTTTCCAACTTGTAATTGTGAAATTAGTTTTTGGACCTCTGTTTATGACTTTGCATTTATATCAATCAGTTTCATCACATTATGTTTTGCCCAGTGTTCTAAATTGTCAAGATTTTTTGGACCCTGGCTCCTCTCTATTAATTAGATGTCTGTCTATGTCATCTATAAATTTGATAAAAATAAAAAAGACAAAGTAAGCTCCTGCCCTCAAGGGACTTGCATTTTCCTTAGACTCAGCATTCTTCTTCTTTCCCCACCTCCTCCTCATCAGTCTCCACTGCTCCCACCAGCATTCTGTGATTGCTTGCTCCGTGTAGGGCACTTTACCCATATTGTTGTACGTGTCAAAAATAAAAATAACCTTAAAAAGCCAGAGGGTATCTTCAGGATTTCACTTTTCTTAGACAGTCCACTTAAAATATGACATTTGTTCCATTATTTTTGCTGTTCATGACTGACTTTACAGTTCTTCCCATGATGAAAGCTAAATGAATAAAGATGTTATCTTAGTTGCTTCTTATCCACTGGTGACTAGAGAGCGCATAGTCTGCCTTCAGAAGAAGAAGACATGACAACTTCTCTCAAATAGTTATGAGTGGGAATAAAGGAGGATCACTGGAGCTGACTCTGGAGTCATGTTAAGTGCTAAAGTGAAATATCCCCTTCTGCATGAAAATGGTCAAGCATAGACGAGAGCTAGTGTGTTCTTACGTCCTCCACAGAAGCACGGGAGGTGCAACATCATCCCGTCTTCCGGGCCACTCATTAAGTGATGCTCGGAAAGTCGTTCGTGTTCTTGTACGTGGCGGCCCATTGAAATCCTTTACCCTTCTGTTGGTAAGACATCGTTTTATCCCATTGGAACAAATACGTGAATATGAAGGAGGACCTGGGATTTGGTGAGTGTGGGGCCCTCCTGCCCTTGTGGTCAGCCATAGACTGAGAGATGGGAGGGACTTCAGAGGCCCTCTACTCTGGATACCTCATTTTACACGTGTGACTGATTACATTCTGTTTTTGTGTGTGAGGCAGTTGGGGTTAAGTGGGTTTCCCTGAGTCACACAGCTAGTATTGTGTGTCTGAGGCCAGATTTGAACTCAGGTCCTCTTGACTCTATCACCGGTGCTCTATCCACTGTGCCACCTAGCTGCCCCCAACCCACCAATTACAATCTATTTCTTCAATCATAAGGATTGTCTGACATTCAGAAAGGAAGTGATACCCTCACTCCTACGTATATCCCTCCTCATAGAGCTAATAAGTTTTAGAAGCAGAATTTGGACCCAGATCTTCCTGATGTCAGGCTTTGAAGCCCAGAGCAAGCTGGGGTTGTTCTGAAGCTTTTTTGGTGTTGCTGTTTAGTAAACCCCTTCTAAGGAATTTTTTAAATGTATAAAATGAAATATATAAGATCGCAAAGGAAACCAATTATATTGTTATACAATGATCAAGATACATATATGTGTGTGTGTGTGTGTGTGTGTGTGTGTGTGTATGTATATTTATAGACAAATTCATGGGCCCCAGGTTAAGAACCCCTGCTCTATACCAAGCTGGCCCCAAAGTATTCCAAATATTGATCAAATACTTCCAGCCCACTCCACCCCCCACCCACATCTGACATATTTCAAGTCTGAATGTAGTTGATAATCAGTGTCATTTTTCAATAATGGCCCGTAAATTTCCTTTGCTTTGGGGGGCAGCTAGGTGTTGCAGTGAATTGAGTGCTAGACCTTGGAGTCAAAAAATTTCTTCTTCCTGAGTTCAAATCTGGCCTGAGACACTTCCTAGCTATGTGACCCCGGACAAGTCACTAAATTCTATTTGCCTCAGTTTACTCATCTATAAAATGGAGAAGGAAATGGCAAACCACTCCACCGTCTTTGCCAAGAAAATCCCAGCTGGGATCATGAAGAGCCAGACATGACTGAAATGACTTCAGAACATTCCTGTGCTTATTTTTGGAGCAGCTCATACTCAGCTCAGTTTGGAAGGTTGATTTGGACTGGTCCTTCTTTCAGAATGTAGGATTGGTTCATCACCTTTACCTGTCCCCTTCCAAATCCCTTCCATAGCACATTACAAACTATAAAGCAGCATGATACCACCTGCTCAGTCTCAATCTAGCCACTTGACAGGCAGGTAGTTGCAGGCCATATTGTGAGGCAGCATGGGGACAGTGGAAAGAGTGATGTTTTTGGAGTTGGAGGATCTGGGTTTTCTTTTGCTGGTTCTCCTATTTATTGTCAGTGTGATCTTGGACAAGCCACTTGTGCTGTCTCTTAGCTTCAGTTTCTTCACCTGTAAAAGGAGGAGTGTGGATCAGATGAACCCAAGGTAAATGTATTAAATAATAAAGAAGGACAGTTAGACTGACTAACCCAGGACAGTTGGATTAATTTCCAATAGAACTGATGATATATACAGTACATGCTCATACATACACACATACACACACACAACCACATACATATAAATATATACATATAGCTATATAATGAATGGATATTCATTATGTTTGTATAGGTAGAACTTTTTTTAAAGCACTTTAAGATCTGTAAAGCATATTATATAGTTATCTCATTTGACCCTTATAACCTCATTGTGAGGTAAGTGCTATAAGTATCATTATTTGCATTTTACAGATAAGGAAACTAAGGCTGAGAGGATTTCTATGCCTTCTACAGGGTCAGTCAGCTAGTAATTGGCTGATTGGAACCCAGGGCTTCTGGACCCTAAGACTGGTAAGCTCCTTGAGAGTTGGGGGTGTTTCATTCTTTGTCTTTGTATCTACAGTGCCTGGTACACAGCAAATGTTTAATAATGCTTGTTGACTGATTGCCTAGCATTCATTTTGGCCCACCATGCTGCTGCTCCAGATAGGGTTGAGGACTACACTTAGGTTACATGGAACTCCGGAATGAGAGGTAGCCCTCTACTCATTCAGGTTGATGCTTTCTCAGTATTTGTGTCTTGGAGACTTGCCCAGAGCCCCAGGAAGCTGAGTAACTTGTTCAGGGTCACAGAACCATCCTGTGTCAGAGGTAGGATTTGAATCCAAGTCTTCTAGGCTCCAAGGCTATCTCTGTGCCATTCCTTTACAGCCCTTCTCTATGCCTCTCAATAGATTTACATGGGGGATATTGTCAGTTGCACAGGTGTGTATGAAACTTTTCCCAAAGAGGTCTAGTAGAATCCAGTTTTCCTTCTGGAAAAAAGGAGAAACCCCTCAATCTCACCATTGTCTCTTAATTTAATTGCTAAAGAGTTTCCTACTGTGGGATTGACCATTGGTTGTCCTCATTTAGAGTTTTGTCATCTCCTTCCCAAAGTTTATTATCTTTCAGGTTTATCAGCTGTTCAATGGAGCTGAGCTCTTTGTAGTTTACCGAAGGCAGACCCATTGAAAGAGAATGAGAGCTGAAACGACAATGGAATTTGTTACATCAGAGGTTTCAATGAGAAAGTATATTTCTCCCACGAGTGAGAGAAACCCAAATAACTTAGAAATGACAAGTGATTATGCCAGACGTGCTGTGACTTAGAATTTATCTTTGGTCTTTGTTATTTTGGGTTTAACAGTGGAGGAAAGAGTATTTGACAGGCTCAATTATCCCCCTTCTCAGTAACCTCCGATCTCTTCTCTCTTCTCCCCCCACTGCTGGTTAACAGCTGACTTCTGCCCTGCTTTAGGACTGGTCCACGTTGTTCGTAGGCCCTGAGAGGAACGCTATTTCACACTTAGGTCCACTCCACAGAGAAACATCAGAGAATCGGCATTGAATGTCCGGTTGGGGAAATTCGAAATTAGTCATTCCCTTCTCCTTCATGCTTAAATGGCTGGGAATGTATGCAGTTGTTTAAATTCTCCTGCAGTAAGTCTGGATTCACCATTTTCTGCAAGGCAATCAGAACTGATATAGATCTGTTTAAGTTTTCAGAAAAATGTTGCCTCCTTCACGGTGACTAGCCTGGATGGAAGGCTTCTAAAATGTAACCATTTCTTTTTTCTATAATCTTTTCCCTCTAAATCACTCCATTCAGCAGGCATTTTATTACGTACCCATTATGTACAATGAGAAGCAGTGTGACATGTTGCATCGAGAGCTGCCCTTCTGGTCAGGAAGACCCAGGTTCAAGTCCTGTTTCTGACACATGCTGGCAACATGAATCCGGTCAAGTCATTTAACCTCTATGGGCTCTGGGCACCTCTCAAAGGCAGATAATTCAGTCACCCAGATTCCAAGTGGCAAACTGGGATCATCACTTGTTCTCTGTGCCTTGTTTACCAGAATAAACTGCGCCAAATCAAAATGATAGCTCAAATGTTATCTATCAGTCCATGAGCATTTATTAATTGCCTACTGTGTGTGGGCCCAGCATCGTAATGCCGACAGTGGATACAAAGAAAGGCCAAAACCCAGTCGTTGCTCTCAAGGAGGACATAGTCTAAATTATATAGTGCCTCCCTCATGGCAGTCCTATAAAGTACTCAGGCTAAGTGTTATTACACCCATTTTACAGATAAGAAAATGGAACGCAAGGAGTTGGATGCATCTTACCTTCATGCTGAGCACAGCAATAATAATCATAGCTCCTATTTCTATATTGTTTGAAGGTTTGGAAAGTGCCTCTTTCCTACAAATCCTTT